TGAATATGTGGGTCTGTATTACCAGTTTCAGTTGTCTCTGAGGTGTGATCAGCAATATTTATGTACTTTAAGTTCTTCAATTACAAGATGTGTTTATTTTTCCATCTTCAGGGCTGTAACCAGTCGTATATTTGATATTAGGAAAACTTCCACTTTGTTAACAGCCCCTTAGAACCCTCCATTAGGCAATTTTTGCTTGTAGCTTTCTGCATTTGTTTGAGCTTCCTCCTGAAAGGGAATAATTTTAGCTTTGCTGATATACAGATTTCAAATTTGGATTATTTTATTACTATCTTAAGAAGCTTTAGATGTTTGGGTTTTAAGAACAACTCCTACCCTCTGTTTCAGTCTAAACACAGTGAGATTACAAGTAGAAATGAGTCTGTCAAGACTACAAGCTATTTTTAGCTGCCAGACAAGTGCTTGATCTTACTGGAAGTTAAAGAAATTAAACAATTACATTGTCCATTTTTCTTTAATTCATTATACCAAGAATAGATGTAATGAATAAGAGAGGAATAAAATTATTAAATACACGCATATACAGAATCTAATAAACCCATCTAAAACATCAACATCTTGGTTTATCAAAAAGGAAAACATAACAGTATTTTCTCTCAATGTAACAGTGAAGAGAGATAATTCACTTGGGTAACAGGAAACACGTAGTAGGCCTTCAACTTTGGATTTTTTTTTAGGATCTCTTACTTAGGAGCTGGTTCAGCTGTGATGTTTAGGTTGTACAACCCTGTGCCCGCTTGCAGCAGGCTCTGTTGCCAGGACTGACATCGGGGCACTCTCCTGGTGCTGCAGTGGCCTTTCACTGCTGTAGCCTGTTCTCAGGATAAACCTCAGGATACAGGAGGATCCACCTACTTTCCCTACAGTTAGAACAAAAGTTCTGTCACAGTCTGTTGAAAATAAATTTTTTAAAAGCAGTCTGGCTCTCAGTTTCAATTGTGTAGCCCTGTGAGAAAAGTTAAGTTTGAACCAATTCAGTCAAAATACAACAAATTGTAGTGCTGTGCCTCCCTCTACTGAGAAAGACAGAAAGTATTTTTCAGAAGGAAGCCTCATTTTATTACTGTATCTTATTTTTTGAGATCACAGGCTCAGTTGGGCAGAGCCTGCAAGCTGGGGAAAAGTGCTTGATGAGAGTGCCACTTTTTGAGAGCAGAAGTGTTTTCAAGACCTAGATCTTGACTTAGCTGTCACTTGATATCTCATTCTGTTTCCATGTGATACAGCTGTGTGCTTTTTAAACATGCACTGCTTTCATTTATGTAGGGCAATCATGTTTGTATTGCCACGAGGGAATTGGTATTGCTAACATTTTGAACCATTTGGAGTTGGGTTTCTTCCCTGCTTGTCCTCACACTGCTTTACTTTAGGGGTTTTTTTTGTTTGTTTTTCTTTGCTTTGGCTATTACCTTAAATCAGGTCCATGTATCTCAAGCTCTGTTCCCTGCTGGCAGGTTCATCGTCTGGTGGTAGTGAATGAAGCCGATAGCATTGTGGGTATCATCTCCCTTTCTGACATCCTACAGGCTTTGGTACTCACACCTGCAGGTATGGATCTGCCCTCTGACCTTTGCCACAAGGCTTTGGTAGCGTGTACACCCTGCTGGCTTGAAATTATTTGACGAAAGCAAACATTCCATCTTCAACTTCTGTAATTGTTGTGTCACAGTTCTTAAATACATTAATAATTTCTCTTCAAAAAAAAGCTGACAAAGTATTAACTGTCATTCTCCTGCTCACTCAGGAGGGCGTGCAGAAGCTTTATGAATGTCACTGTTGTTCTTATATCTTCTTTTTAGAGGAAAAAAAGGTCTTGGTTAATGTTTTAATAGGATGAAGTTGAAATACATTGGGAAGAAATTCTGTCCTGTGAGGGTGGTGAGGCCCTGGCACAGGTTTTCCCAGAGAAGCTGTGGATGCTCTGTCCCTCAAAGTGTTCAAGGCCAGGTTGGATGGGGCTCTGAGCAACCTGCTCTAGTGGAAGGTGTCCCTGCCCATGGCAGGGGTTTGCAACTGGATGGTAATGTTTAAGGCCCCTTCCAACCCAGGCCATTCTGTGATTCCATGATTCCATGATAGAGACAATATCTTCAACAGGGTGCTCTCCCCACATTCCTGAGTTTCTGTACTCTGGCCGAGTGCTCCTTGTGTGGATGCAGCCATGCTTTCCGTGAACGCTGCAAAAACACCCCCTCAGAGCCCTTCAGTTGTCCAGCTGTGCTGGGTGGTTTGGTTGGCTCAGCTTGGGGGAGAGATACGGGTTTATTTCTGCTACTTTTATCTTGGTTATGGGGGGCTCGTTTAGTTGGGTTTTGTTTGGGTTTGATTTTAAGTTTTGCCCGAGTTCCTAACCTGCTTTATGTTCTTAATTGTAACTTCACTTTGGCCACATAAATGACTTCAGTGTCATAAGAACTAAAGCATCTTTTGGCTTTGTGAAGAAGACAAAAAATGTCATGAGGATTACAATTTTGGCTCAAAAAAAAAATCAGACTAAACAAATGGAGCTGGATATATCCTTCAAATAAGAAAGTCTGAATGTGAGCTTTATTGGCATCTCTTATCTGCCCTGGTAGATAACATAATTATGTTAAAGTGTTTTTTTCTCTGTAGGCTTAAAAAAAAAGAAAAAGTTAATGTAGCTTGTTTAAATAGTAAGAATTTTCCTCTGAAAAGAAGTAATTACTTACACTGCTGGAGGTATTATGTCAGTGCATCTGCTTTCTTTTAATGAGCTGGGAGAGCAAGTAATCCAGCTCCATGTGAAAGGTACAGCTGAGGATGAGAAATCAGCCCAGAGGTCTGGATCAAATAGAATCATATCCTAGAGAGGGAATGGAGGGGTGTCTGTCTGTCCAAGAGGGAGATGTAAAGACAGGCAGCTGGTGCCTCTCCAGGGAGAGAAGGGAGTTTCCTCCATGACTGGAGGGCAGAAGGATCCAAGGAGAGTAGAACTTACTGTTACTAGAGCAAAGATTAGGCAGAAAAATTGCATCTGGATACTGACAGGAGCTTTGTTATACTGGAATTACATGGACACCTACATTGCAAGTCTGAACTGATGCAGAAGTGCTCTGTAGTTTATTGGAAAGGGCAGTTCCTGCTCCCAGGCTGTGGGTTGTGCACTGCTGGTGTTAACAGGTGGCAGCACCACACTCTGAGATCTCTGAACTGCTGTAACTCACTGATCCAACAGGAAACTGAGCCAGCAAAAAAAGCTGCAGTTTTGTCAGCTTGGCACCCTGAGCTGGCTCACAGAACAGTCTGGTACGGGGGTACTGCACGGGGGTTAGAGCAACAGAGAGGGCAAGGTTATGCCATGGAAGAGATGAGGTGAGGGAAGGCATTTTTTGGGAGCAGGTAGGCGTTAGATTGCATTTCCAGTTGCATTTCCACAGGCGACTGCCCGTTTTTAGACTGTGATTTGTCTTGTGAAGAGGGGATGTCTGCAATGCAAATCTAGTTAGTAGAGTCTGGAGTGTGATTTAGGTCTTAAAGTGGATGTGTAAGCATAGCAGACAAACCATGCCCTAAAAGTGTTAATTTCTCTTCACAGACTGGAAAGAAAAATTTATTGACTGGCAGGAGTTTAGACCAGCCTATGTTAGGGAAAAAAATTACCAGCTGTGATGTGAAAACTGGATGTATTTAATGAATCTTTCAGTGTTTGATTATACATTACAAGTAGCAACTCCAGGTTGCTGGCAAGAGATTCTTGCTCTCTAGAGCTGGATGCTGAAGCCAAGCTCACCATGGGGTTCAGTCATTGCCCAGCATGGTTTGAGTACCTGGGGAAGAGGTGAGGTGCTGTACATTCCTGCTGAACAGGTCTCCTGGATCCTGCTGTCAGCAAAGTCTGCCTCTGAGCCAGGAAAAATGGGCCCATCAACACCGTGTACTCCAACTGAATTCTTACACAGTTTGTGCTCAAGCAGGGCTTCATTTTTTTAAGGCTATTACGGTGATTAAGCTTGGCTCTAAGCTGAGGGACAGGTTTGGGCTGTGGCTTTTTCTTTGGGGGGTTTTAAACTATTATTTTTTTTTGTGCTGGGGAGAGTCTTCAAACGCACTTGGAGTCACTTCCCAGAAGAGTTGCTTGGACTTACAATGAAGTCAGAAGCAATGATGGTATCAAGGCCTTCCTGGCTGTGCTTCATGTTGGCATTCAGCAATCCTGCAGTACATTCTTTATAGATGGTACATCCAGGACTAAGATTTTGGTGACATGGGGAAACTCCAGCAGTTGGGATGAGCAATGCTTTACCATAAGCCCCATGCCATGAGCCAAAGGAAATCACACCTGCTTTCCTCTTGTGTTCACAGGTGCCAAACAGAAGGAGAATGAGAGCGAATGACTGCTGTGAATGTACATGTTTGTAGGAGAACTTGAACAAAGTTTCTGGGTCAAGTTTGTCTCAAGAGCAGTGACTGCAATAGAACAGAGCAGGATGGTTGAGAATGTGTTTTGGGACTTAGTGATGGATGATGAGTCTCTTCCCCCAGTGATGTCGCAAAAAAAAAAAAAAAAATAAAAAAAGCAGCATGACAAAAGCTTATGTTAAAATGTAGGCTCGTATTTCAAAATGTCTTCAAAACATTTGCTGGAAGACTTCACATGATGTCCTTCATTAAAATGCACTGTATTCTGAAACTTTTTCATTTTGTATTTGACAGAAGTCACTGGTCAGCAATGGATATATGTGGCATAAGGCAAGTGTATGGCATATTCATATCATAGTGCCTTATGTCAAAATACAGCAATATGTCATCACTGTTGCCCATCACTGTCAAAGGAAGTGTTGTGCTAAACGAGACACTGTATTTGAATGTGAAAGTCTTTAAACCTAAAACCAAATCAGTTTCAGTTCTCATTAAATTTGTCATAAAAGCTGTAATTTGAGTATCGGTAGACTTCTTTAAAACTTCAATGACAGTTTTGTGTTCAATGTTGCATTCTGAACTGAAATGTAAAACAAGACTGATTTAAAAACAGCTTTATTTATTTTTACTTTCATGACAATTTTTTACACATCTTTGGTGGATAGCTAAAATTTCACCATATCCATTAATAAACTGTTGATTGTTATACAAACAAGTGGGAGATTTTTCTCATTATTTAAAACTTCGGAGTTGCAGAAGCTGTGGCCTGTTGATCAGTCCGTGTTACTTGAGCTGAGGATTTCAGAAGCATGGATTGAAAGTGATCTGTACTGTCATACACAGGCACCACGGAGGAAATGAGGTGCCAGAGGACAATATTTTCATCTGTATTAAAGTGTAAAATGATGTTTGTACAACAAAAACCCGGAACTTTTTATTGTATATGATCTGTACAGAAGGGGAGGAGTGAGGAGAGCTGCGGGGTATTTGCTAATGTAAATGTACTGTAAAGTTTGAAGATGAGACTTTTATAACTGTAGATTCTTGTAGATGCAAGAAATTAAACCCTACAACATCAGTTTGGTTTTAGCAGTTCGTGCCAAGTTCTTTCACATGTGTAAATGTACGTGCATTTTAATTAGTGTAAAATATTAGAGGCAGTCCTGTTTTCCCCGGACTTTAAAGTTGGCTTATGCTAATGAAGTTAATGCAGGCAGGACTTTTGTATTGTGTTTCTAGCCTGAATACTGCAATGGAATAATGCAGTAAATGGATCCATTATTTTTCCATATATAAACATTGAGGTAAAAGATGAATAGTTTTCAGTTTGCTTATAAAATTTGAGGTGTTTAATAGTAATGAAAAACTCTTTCTTTAGAACTATTCCCCTTTCCTACAGGAACTTTAAGTTTGAACTAAATGTGTGAAAAATTTCTTCTTGCAGGTACCTTTCACGTCTAAAAATACTCCTGTAGTACACAATGGAAACTGTTCACTTAAGACTTTATCTCACTTTCTTACCCTGTGAAAAACATTGTCAAGTCTCCTCCAGAACCTTTTTCAAGTGGGCAAATACTGACTCTGTTCCCTGCAATTCCTGACGGTACTGAACTGGAATAGCTGCTTTGGCCCAAGAGCAGCGACCTCGGGGTCTGGTGCTGCATTTGCTGCCATCAGAGCTGACATCAGCACATCTCTGATTATCCTTGTGTGGGAGATGGAGTGATTGGAACTAAAAATATTGGGTCTCATTCTTCCTAGGGCGTGTGGAGGGGATAATCTGTGGTAGGTAACTGATTAAGGGTAAGTGGGCAGCAGGGCTCCCTGCAAACGCCACGCAAACCACGTAAAAAGCCAGGATACAGCCCCAGCACAGGCACTGTAGCATCCTCTGGGAGCTGGGATGGCACAGAGTTGCCTAAATGGATCGTGAGATCTATCGTTTATTTGCATGAGCATATTCTTCAGCCCTGTATGGAAGGCATTGTTGAAGATAAGGGTGGAACAGCTGGTAGGTACTTATATTTGTATATTTTGTAGCACAAAGTCTTCTGGCCCTGTTCCACACAGACAGCTTTGCGTGCAGCAGTAAGCAGAAAGCCAGAATGAATCTGCAGTTTTCAGACAGCCACGTACAGACTTCCTATTGTAACGTTACTACAAGCAGTGCTGTTGGCACCTTGTGGACACAGGACCAGCAAAATTACGGACATCAGCCTCCTCAGTGATACAAAACTGTGTCTGAAGAATTTCCACCTTTTACTTTCCGGGATTCAGAGCTGAACCCTGTGTTTGTGAGGAGCAGAACCGCAGTGTGACCCCACAGGCAGGAGCAAACAGCAGTGCCATCCAAAAGGCACTCGGGTTGCACTGGCACAAGCGCTGGTGCTGATGCAGTAAACACAGCTAAAGAAAATGTGTCATTTTTAAAGCAGATCAGTTTTCTAAAGAACTAGAGCAATGCTTGTTCCAGCATAAGGGAGGGGCAGGAGTAAGTAAATGAGGGTAGAGAAAGGAGGGGTGACTCAGCAGTGCTGCCGCATGTTCCAGATTAAAGCGACAGCGCAACTAAAGCTTTGGTCCAGGACTCTTCACGTGGCTTGTGAGAGGCCCCAGCCATGGAAAAGAGTTAATAAAATGTCGTTAAACTCCAGTTCTTACACATTTTTCCCTCTGGACAGGCAGCAAGCAGTACCTGTAGATCTGAGACCACTGCAACAGCTCCAGGTGCTCCCTTTCTTTCCACAGACAGGACCATGCTGCAGATGGAGGTGGCAGAAGTGTCCCCCACAACTCCTGAAAGCCTGTTCAATTGGGCAGATGAAGAAATGGATTCTATTTGAACCAGCAGAACTGTAGAACACATCATCGATTCCTCTGCTTCTCTTGCCCAGCAAGAGATGTCTGTGGAGGATAATTATTCTGAAGGGCTCCTTGGTCTGGGAAGGGTTTTTACCTACCCTGGATATTTTTAACTCTTTAGGTGTAAGAAAATGTTTCTTAGTACTCTTCAGCCCTCAGTATTTTTCAGTATCTAGAGACGCTCTGAAATAACTGAGGAAAAATCACCCTTTGCTGACATTGATCGCTTGACTGACGAAAACATTTTCCAGCTTTACTTCTGGAATTCTTCAGTTAAAAGGTCCAAGACCAGACAGTATTTGCTGTTTACTGAACTGAGCTCCAGTCATTGTGTATTCGAGGCCTATTGATCTCCTTTTTCTAAGGAAGACTGTTCTGCTGGGAATGTTTGGGTAACACAGAAAGAAACCAGCCTCTCTTTCCAAGGCCTGAGCTCTTGTCCTCACAGCAGACAGGAGGAATCCGACTGAAGTGGTTCCAAGACTACACACTGAAGACACTCCTTGCCATTTTTAGAGGGACCATAGGGTAAGTTGGAGTTTCTCAGTTTTGGTCCAACTAGAAGTGAAACCACGTGCGTTTAATCCTGTCTCATGGCAGGCTCTGTAACTGCTCACACTGAGCTCTCCAGTCAGCTTTAGAATAACCAGTTTACTTCTGAAGTTTCTGTGAACTTTCACCCATATTGAACACTTATTAAGGGTAATTTCCAGAGGAAAATGACATTCTGTATAATGTAATATTACCTTTGTACCCACATAATGTACTTATGCAAAAAGAATGTTCTGCAGACACTGCTCTTTGCTCTTCACTCCAGGTCTTAATTTAAATGTGGTTTTGAAAGTCACTTTCTTACTACCCATTTGTTTTCTGGTGGTTGCAGTCAGACCTGTTCCTGCTGAAGTGAATGGGAAAAGGTGACCTGTACTCATACATCAAACTCATTCCTTCAGAAAGGATGGAACGTGTCCCTGCCAGCTGCATACCAGGACCTGTATGGCATCAGTGCCAGTAGCCCCTACGAACTGAATTTGTTCCTTAATTTGCTTCTCCTAACATTTTGCCAGTGGTTCCATCTGAATGTTGGAAAGTATAATGACGGAAAAGACAGGAGGGAGCAGGAACAAGTGTAAGGCTGAAGTGAATGTACTTCGTAACCTCTGCAGGCAGCAAGGGCTGTGCTGTGCCTGTGGGAGCACGCCCAGCACAAACACTGGACACACATCAAAAAACCTCCTCGGGAAGGTCCCCGTTTGCTGAAGGACAGAGCAGGTAATTGTGCTGGTAATTGCTGTTACAGGAATTGAAGGTACAAGTCAGAGCTGTTCTGCATTTGGGAGATGAGTCGCCGGGTGCTTGTGGGTTTGCACGTACTGGATTAGCATAAAAATACTTGACTGTTGAGTTACATTTGCTACATGAAATTCATCATGTTTTTTTCCTCCATCATGGAAAAGCCATGTTCCTTTTTTTCCAGCCTCCCTCAACACCTTGTTCCTGCAGACAGTTCTTGCAGTTCTCCCTTGTGGTATCTCTTCTTTCAGACCCGTGGCCATACCTGATGTGTTGCATTCACTGACCATGTTGTTGGCTCATTTACAACAACATGAATGCCATTTATCATCTGAGCTGATCCAAGGGCTGTGTTTGATTTGAAGGAGTATCTGGTAAAGGCCTGGAGTGCAGCCAGTGCACAGCACACTTATCCCAGAGTTCTCCGAACTCCCTTGTGGTTCACAGCACAACTGGCAAACACTACAGGCATGAAGAGGCTGCAGCAGGAGCAAGGAATGTACAGGCAAAAGACCTAATCCCTAATGGTCCTAATGCTATGGAATGCTGCACTGGGAAAACAGAGCCTGAACATCACACTGGGATTGTTACAGGTGGAGGGAATTTCAGTGAAGGGCCACTTAGTGTGTGAGGCTGCTCAGCCCTAAATACATAAACAGTAAGAGTTCAAATAATGCACAGTGCATGGATTAGACATTCCCAGCCACAGGTGTGCTCTCCCTCTGCACCAGAGCACTCCAGGAATTGTTTAGGTTTCACCTGGGCAGGGGAAATGCAACAACAGCCTTACCATGATCCAGATCCTCTCATCTTTGCTTAAGCTGCTGCTTGAGTAGCTGTGTCCCAGAGTGCTCCCAAAGGCCATCAGCAGCGTCACCCAGTCCTAGAGCGTGGAAAAACAACACAGTTCCCTGAAAACTGTATTTGAGTGTCCCAGTCAAGACAGAACGAAGCACTTGCGTGATTCTGATGGAGTAAGGACTGTTAGCCAACTCATTGCAAAGAAACAGTGGAAGAAAAGAAAGTTAAAAGGTTGTCTTCAAATTTAAAACAGACCCAGAACCATGTGTTCCTGCTGCAGCACAGGCTGACAAGCACAGGGGTATCCTAAGGTGAAACAACTCCATTGCAGTCTGAGGCAAGAGATAAAGCCAATAAAGGGCAGGGAGTGGAAGCCCTGCAGTAGTGAACTCCCCCAAATGAACACAGAGGGAGCAGGTGCAGGTTAACAGAAACAAGATGGATAAACAGACAAGGGTCCAAAAGGTGCATGGGATAAGAAAAAGAGAGTAAGGGGAGAGACCTCATCAAAAGAAGTGGGGTGTCAAGGGAGAAGCAAAACCAGAAACTCTCACAAACAAACAAAATATTGATGCTCACCAGCATGTGGAGGGGTATGGATGTATATTCTGAAAATGCAGATTATGTTTCACCAGAGTAAAAAAGCACAGTGCCAAAATACTACAGGCAAGTAATAACTGTAAGGAGATGGAACTACAACAAACTTCACCTATTTTTCCATGTATGTCATTGGAAGGTAATTCTTATCTCAGTTCTCTCAGTCCTCTGGCTCAGTAAATAGCCCAAGTTTTGGACCCACATTCCAGAGGGACCAAGTGCAAAGATGATGGCACAGCTGCAGGGCTACACAAGGGATGGTCCTGCAAGATTATGGCTGTTGCAGTCCTTGTCCTTTATAACTTCTGTCTTTCAAAACACACAAAGCAAAAAGGGATGTGGTGATGTACATCAGGCAGAGCTGTCCCCCTGCACCTCCTGGAGAGCTTTGAACAGTATCCCTGTTCACAAAAGCTTGATTTCCACAGGCTACTGCTTTTCTGCTGACCCACCAAATCCCACCATCATGGGATTGCACCAGTCCCTATGGTGGGATGCTCCAGGGCTGGGATAAAGTGGGAATCTACTGCAGAGAGGCTGGAAACGGAGAAGGAGCACACAGAGTTACATCCACCACAGACATCACTGACAAAGTACATAAACCCCGTGTTTTCTCATGAAATAACTATCCTTCCATCATGTCCCTATTCACTGAAGGCTCTTTTCCCTGCTGTGTCACAGGTTACCAGCACTTATCCTGTAAAACCCTGTAATCCAGGAGATGAAGGGTATAATTAGGCTACCCCAAAAATGCGGGTATCTCCTAAAAGCCTGTCTGCTCCCTCAGAAGCAAGTCACTTTTGTGTACAATTGGCTTTCTTTTGTTTTAGTTCCCTGCCCTCTCAGCAGGTTAGATGAACACTAGTACTGGGAATGGATGGCTGGGATCAGGGAGAAATCAATCCATCTCCCTGAACATCATCCAGCTGTTAGGATGTTTTAGCTGTACCCTGAGGGCACAGCTGCATGTTAAGTATCACTGTACCCCAAAAAAAGAGGAGCTGCACATAAAGAAAGTAACTTCTAATTTTTCAAGAAAATGTGGAAAGGGTGGATATTTACCAAAGTGTTCAAAATCAGTAGCAGAGGGGGAAAAACTTCAAGGTTCACTGTGTCTTTCTGCATCCATTAAGTGCTGCAGTCGCCTCTGTTCAAAGTGGAAAACTCTCCGCCGCTTGGATCTCACAGTTAACCATTCCCAACCCTCCAAACATCTCCTCCCCCTTCCCTTATATGCCATTCCCAGCACTTTATCGACGCTGGGATTCCACGGTTCCCCCTAAGCTCTCTGCCGGCATAGGGAAGGCACAAACGCCAGATCCCGGGATGCGGAGCGACCCTTCCCGGGACGGGCGGCGTCCTTGGAGTCCGCGGGGCTCCGGGACACGAAGCGCACGGAGGAGCAGCGCCCGATCCCATTCCCGGGAGAGGAGCCCCCTGGGATGGGGACAGGGATAAGGATGGAGATAGGGACGGGGTTAGGGACGGAGAAGGGGTTGGGGACGGGAATGGGATGGGACGGACACAGGGATGAGGACGGGATTGGGATTGGGATGAGGACGGAGTCGGGGATGGGGACGGTAATGGGAACGGGGATGGGGACAGGTGGGGTTGAGGATAGGGATGGGGACGGGATTGGGACGAGAACTGGGATGGGGCGGGGTCAGCGATGAGGACGGCGATGGGACGGGGACAGAACCAGGGTTAGAGATGGGGACAGGGACAAGGATGGGAACGGGAACAGGGACGGGAATGGGAAAGAGGATGTGGACAGGGATAGGGAAGGGGATGGGTAGAGGGATAGGGATGAGGACGGGAACTGGGACAAGGGATGGGGATGTGGTTGGGATGAGGATGGGACTGCGATGAGGACGGGGATAGGGATAAGGACGGAGGCAGGGATGGGGATAAGGACGGAGGCAGGGATGGGGATAAGGACAGGGATGGGGATAAGGACGGAGGCAGGTTTGGGGATAAGGCCGGGACAGCTCTGGGGCCGGTCCTGAGGCGGCGCGCGCGGGACGCACCAACCGCCTCGCGCCGCTCGCGCACGCGCGCGCGGGGCCTTCACACGCTCCCCTCCTCCCCTTCCCCCCGCGTCCCCGCGCGCCCTTGGCCCGCCCGGCCCCGCCCCCTTCCCTCGCCCCTCCCCCGCCGCGTCCGTCACCGCGCCCCGGCCAATCCGCGCGCGCCGCCGCCGCCGCCGCGACCAATGGGCGGGCGCGGCCGGGGGAGGGGGCGCGCGGCGCGGCCGGGGCGGTGCCGGCGCGCGGTGACGCGCGCGGCCGTTGCCCGTGACGCGCAGGTGCGTGCGCGGGGCCGGGCGCGCGGCGGCGGCGCTGGTGGAAGGAGGAGGGGTGTCACGTGGTGCGGGCGCCGCCGCTGCCAGCGCCGCGCGCTCCGGCCGCTCCCGCCGCTGCCGCCGCTCCCGCCGCATGTGGCTGGCGCCGCGCCCCGAGAGCCCGCAGCGCCCGCCCGCCGACCGCCGCCGCCCCATCCTGACCCTCCGGAGCCGCAGCCGCCGCCCTTGATGTGGTTCGGGGCCGGGCGGGGGACAAGATGCCGCCGTCCAAGTCCCGCAAGATCGCGATCCTGGGCTACCGGAGCGTGGGTAAGCGCGGCGGGCCGGGGGTGTCGCGGCGGGCGCGGGGCCGCCTCGCATCGTATCGCCTCGCATCGCCCTCCTCCCCGCGGCGGCGGCGGCGGCGGCAGGTGCAGCGGAGGCAGCGGCGCTTCCCGCCGGGCCGAGCGCGCAGCCGCGGCCGGGCAGGGAGGGAAGGGAAGGAGGGAGGGCCCCGCCATGGCGGCGCCGCAGGGCTGCGGGCCCGCGGCCGCCTGCCCTTAATAGGAAGTTTCATTCCCCCCTCACCTCCCCTCGGAGGGAGCCTGGAAAACCGGGTGGGGGGTGTTCCCGCCCAGCCGGGCTGGGGGTGCTGCGATGCGGCTCCGAGCCCCGGGAGCGGGGAAGCGTCTGGAGCGCGTGTGTTGTGCGGGGCGGCGGAGGGGGCCGGGTTTGTTTAGTCTGGAGGAAAGGCGGCTCGGGGGAGACCTTGTCGCTCCCTATAACCTTCCTGACAGGAGGGTGCAGCCAGGTGAGGGTCGGGCGCTTCCCACAGGCAGACAGCGACAGGACGAGAGGAGGACATGGCCTTAAGCTACACCAGGGGAGGCTGAGGTTCGACATTAGGAGGAATTTCTTCACAGAAGGAAAGGGTGATCAGACGTCGGAAGAGGCTCCCCAGGGAAGCGGTGGGGCCGCCGTCCCTGGAGGTGTTTGAGGACAGAGTGGACGTGGCACGGAGTGCCCTGCTCTGGTTGACGCGGCGGTGTTGTTGGGTCACGGGTTGGGCTCGGTGATGTCAGGGGTCTTTCCCAACCTGCGTGGTGATTCTGTGATTTTTGAAGTGCCGAGGGGAAACCAGGTCGGTGTGGTGCCGGTTTCTGGGCTGTGTTTTTTTTCCCCTCCGGAGGTGTTCGTCCCCCAGCAGCAGCACCGCGGGGCCGTGTCAGCCCGGGCTGTCCCGCAGGGGCTGTCCCGCTCCTGCCCGGCGCTGCTGGCACAATCCAGCACGGGATGATCCGCTGAGGAACGCCCTGGAACCCTCCAGCACCAGCCTGTAGCAGCTGATAGGGGTTTTTTTGTCCCATACGTGTAACCCCTCCTGGGTTCACTGTCTTCGATGGAGAACGGTTTCGGCTGCTCCCCTCTGCTTTAAGAAACCCGAATGCTGAGACAAGCCCGTAGTACAGCCATCCAGCCTAATCGATCAAACTTAAAAGCCTAAGATCAGTGTAGAAGATAATGTGCGGCTGGGGAAAAAAAAAAAGGGAGATGCTATGGAGAGATACTGTGCTGCTGTGAAAGGGGTTTTTACGTTTAAGCCGTGACTAAATCAGTTTTCTGTCTCGTGTTATGCACTCGGCATCTTTAAAAGATTTAAAACACCAGGCTAAATAAGTGTAACTCTGTCTTGGATTTTGTGCATAACTGCAGCCTGACTTTGAGACAGGTTGTTTTAATGATGAACTTGTCCAGTCCTTAAGCAGAACAGTGAGTAGTAGATCGATCCGTTTGCATAGTCTGTGTGACATCACTTGTTGTGGTCCGTTCACTGTGATGTGTGTTACGCTTTCTCTTCTCTTCCCTTTATTTCTTTGAGCCCTGGTGGGAGCAAGCAGTGGGCAGTGTAAGTGAGAAGGGAGAATGCTTGAAATTCTGTCCTTTGAAAGTCTGTGATGGGGGACTGAGTGTACTGTTGAGCTTTGGTCCTTCATCTGTTGACACTGACAGCCAGCAGTCAAAAAGTCAGATGGTGGTAGGGTGTGTGATCAGTTGAGGAAAAACAGAGAAATAGTATCATGTTTTTAGTCTGGCAGGTGATCTGAGCAATAGTACTCGCATGGAAAGGGTGGGCAAAAAGCTGTTACAACCTACTGCTGAACTTCTTCAAATGAAGTGTTCTGGCACTAGTGCAGAATTAGGCTTGATGGGACAAGACCAGTTTTATTGGGACATCTACAAGTTGTATGAACATAGAATTAAGGGGGGGGTGAAAAATCTGGTTTACTGGAATTTTCCTTCCGTTCTCCTTGACAATTCTGTGTTACCTCTTAGGTAAAAATTTCTCTTTTTAAAATGGCGAAGTTACTCCTCTTAAATACGGGAACATTACATTTCTAGGCAAATAGTTATGTAAAACTTCAGGCAGTAGAAATGAGTCATTGGGGTTTTACTTCCATCTTGTAAAGCTGGTAGAAAAGCATGTAAGTTAAACTGTCAGATTTAGGCTGAGTCCTCTACTTGCCCAATTATGCCTTCTAAAGTCTTGGAGGATGGGGGCTTAGTTTGGCTTAGGGGGAATGTTGTATTTGCATTGTGATGGCAGGATTATTACTTGAACCCTGGGTAACAGAGGATCTAATTTTGTTTTAGGACAAGTTTTTGTGTGGTAGAAAAGGAAGAGCATTTCTTTTGGGGGAAATACAACATTGTATAGAGCTAACGTTCACTAAGGTGGGGAATAATTCCAGAATCTGAAGTACTGGAAGGAAATGCTTTCTAAATTTCCTTTTATAATTACGGAGCTGCATTGTTTTGCTATTAACATTAATCTTGA